TATTTCTATGACTTTTGAACTTACCCATTCATTTTTGTTTTAAAGGTTTAAAAAAGGAATCATAGTCTGGAAAAAAATTTACGTTGATTTCATTCAGGGCTTACAGTAATACTTTTTAAGCGACCAAAACATAACCGATGGGAAAAGTTTACATATTACTTCTTTCTAAAATGACGAAATACAAACAATAACGGACCTTTAGCTTTTTACTGCTCTCATATAAAATTACTAATAGATTATTTTTTTTAACATTAATTATAAAAATGATAGATTTTTTGTGGAATCCTTTAATGTTAAAAATAAATGCATCCCTTATTCAATAAAAAAAAATAATAATAAGTCTTCAATAAAAAAAAAGTCTTCAATAAGTATTCAATTCAGTAAGTCTCTCTTTTTAAGTACATGTTTAATACAATAAATTTAACAGTATTTTATAATAAGCAATCGAAAAAAATAAAAACTTTTTTTCAATGAACAAAGGAATTGATCTAGCTATAAGTATTAATATTTATTCTTATTTTTATGGGAATATATATTAAATTTTTCTAGAACGTAAGAATATATTATATTTCGTGAAAAATTATACTTCAGAAAATGATTTCAAAAAGAAAATAATGATATATATTTATTTAAAAATTGTAATAAAATTAAAATGATTATTTTTTAATAAAATTATTTTTTTTATAAATTTAATAGGTAAATTCCATAAAGTATAATTAAACTATAGTAAAAAAATAAAATTCTAATTTTTTAATATTGTATGAAAAAAATCACCAGTTTTCAAAAAATAATAAAAGTTGTTTTTTTACCTCTCAAAAAATATGGTTAATATTAATTTTATTCCTTTCTCTCCTGATTTTTTTCAAATTTTTGAGTCAAAAGCACATTTTCTACAAACTCTGCATTTATTCATTATTAATCTATAGTAACCTTACAATTAATTTACGGTATACAATGAAGGTCCTGTAACTAATTAAGTGTAAAAGGCCAAACTACCGTTTTATTTTTCGGGCTTGTATAGGTGAAGAGTTATTCCGCCTCTTCCTGAAATGCCTCAAAACAAACGATAAAGGACCCCATTGTACTTGCCTTTTGCCGTTATCCTACCTAGAATGCCAGCTTACGGCCTTACCTTTGCCGCAAGGTGTGTGTTTACTGGGTATATTCAAAAATAATCAATCAGAAATCTTTAAATGAATCAAAAATGAATAAATCTAAAACAAAACAAAGGGTTAATTATAAAACATGCTTCTATAGCATTGATTAATTTTTTCAATTAAAATAATAAAGATGGATTGACTTAAGACCAATGGCTTAAAGTAAAAACAAACACAAGCTTTATTTTAATTTCTGTTAAAAAATTTAAAATGACGATGAATTATTAAAAACTCCATTTTTTCTCTCTTCTTAAGAGTCTCAATTTTTTAAAAAAAATTCAAGGACTCTTCAATGACTTTCAAGGACCTAAAATCAAATTTTTCAAGGACCTATTCAGTATTATTGTTATATGCTAAAGTACATGTCAACCAGATTTAACAATTACATAGAAGCAGAAATCACAATGCTTATTTGACAACAACAAAAAAATTATTTATTACATTTATCCGCCGATAATACAAATGGTTGATAATTACATTGGTGTTCCAAATCCCTTAGAAAAATTCCAATTGACAAAAAAAAAAAAAAAAAACTCCAATTAACGTAGAATACTAGCCAACATTTAAAAACTAGCATCAGTGAAACTTTTCATGAAAAATTTAATAATGAAGTGAATTAGAATTAATGAAACTGATTGAATGTATAATGCATATTACACAGGTTGCGTAGCCAAATAATTTAACAAAAAATAAGCACCTTTTAAGCACTCAAAAATATTTTTAAGCACTTTAAAAAAATATCAAAATTAGGCAGGGTCGGAAAGATTTTGGCAATCGATGGTTTTATCTTGTTTTAACCGTCATGTCAAAAAAAAAAAAAAAACCTTTCGGCATTGTTTTTGACAATTGTCAAAAATCATGAAATTTTGAATTATTTAACGAATGGCGTTTTCAAACGCTACGGACTAACTATAAGCCGAAATAAATTGGGGAAATTATGAAAACGTTGAATAGAAAGAACAATGTTAACTGTGTCTTTTTGCATGATTCGAAGCGAAAATCAACATAGTAAAGGAAAAATCTCTTTTTGAAAAAGGGATAATTAAGCACTTTTTAAAAACACCCAATGAAAAAAGCACCTTAAAGGGCTTTTAAACAACGAAAATAAGCACTTTAAAGCACTTTTTAAAAACGCTACGCACCCTGTTACATTAAACAAGCATAGTAAATAATTGATAAAGCTTGTGTAATTGCATGGTTATTAAAATATAAATACTCATTTTTAATATGTTAGATCAAATTTTAGATTACAGGAAATGTAATAATTATAGAATCTATAATTATCTATAACATAGATAAATTATCAAAATATATGTTTCAATTTTAATATCAAATTTTCTATTTTGTTACTTCAGAATATCAGTAATGTATTTCGAACATAATAAAATTTATTGTAAAACAGCATTTCACAGATAACTAACTAAGACTTACCGAGCTTTATTTTCCTTAAAATAAATCCATAAAATGCAAAGCGTGATTTTCAAAATTTTGTGAATGCGTAATTTTTAAATTGCATTTATACGAATCTAGATATACTATATGTAAATCAAAATCATAAGAAAGTTGAAGTAAGTCTTGAAGATTGCATAAATCCCGTATTACAATGTGTGATTTGTAAATTTAAATTTAATTGCGGTGTATGTTTCTTAAACCGGAATCATATGAATAGCTAATGATACAAAACACACGAACTAACAAGACATAAACCACAATGTGAGATACATAAATCACTTTAATGTGAATTCTGTTGGATGATTAGCTAATTGTTTTCATGTGAATAGTGATCATTATGATGCAAATTGCAATTTGTGATTCAAAAGTTGCTTGATATAGAACAGCTATGTATGATTCTTAAATCATTTTGATGAGAATTGTGAGTGGTAATTCTTAAATCTCTCTTTTGTGAATCACAATGCGTGATTTGTAAATAACTAGAATGGGAATTGTGAGGCATGATTCTGAAATTACTTAAATACGTTATATGATTTAGAAATAACTTTAATTGATATCATGATGTGTGATTGATAAATCACTTAATGTGAATCATGATGTGTGATTGATAAATCACTTAATGTGAACCATGTGTGATTTATAAAATACCTTAATATGAATTCTGATGAGTAATTTGCAAATCACTTTAAAGTAATATTTGATATGTGATTCATTAATCACTTTCAGTTAAACCACAAGTCGTAGAACATTTTATCAGTTTAATGTGAATCACGATGTTTATTCATATTCAATGAAACCTTTAAACTACATTTTATTTATTAGCAGTAAAAATTTGATTAAAAATGGTAAAAAATTAATTATTCTTCGTGCATAAATTAAGAGAACAAATAGGATAACAATAACAACCTGTCCTAATAATAGAGTTAACACATCGAACATATTTTTAAATCAATTAAACACTATATATCATTAGAAAACTATGACTATAAAACCTAAAATTTGCTACAAATTTCAGCTTTCAAAACATCAGAGAGATGAACAATAATCTGGTCTGAAAAATCTAGGAGAGAAACGTTTTGCATCTTCTTTAACCCCTTTCCACTTCAAGCATTAAAAATTGCTTTAATCAGAATTTCTATAATTTTCCTTTGAATTTATTATTTTTTTACTACTTTTTTGGTAAGAAGTAGTATTTTAATTCCTAAAAGTTCGTAGTATTTTAATTCCTAAAAAATCAAGTACCTTTCAAGTACCCTATGGCAGAATTCAAGGATTTTTCAGGGCCCCGATTTTTTTCAACCAAATTCAAGGACTTTCAAGGTTTTTCAAGTACTGTGGAAAGCCTGATAACAGTAGGACTACTAAAAATAATTGACAAGAAAGGCTAAATCCCAACAGACAAAAAAAAAGTGATGAAATTATGCACAACAATCACTAAGTAGCAGAAGTCTCACCGAAAACAAGAATATTTGATTAAATTTTGAATATTAAAATTTGAATACAGTGTAACGTCCCTTTCCCGGAAGGGTCGATTTCCCGGACACTTTTTAACAATCAAAATAAACAAACATCTCTCCATTTTCCCCTTTCCTTTAAAAAAAAGGTCTTTTGACACATTTTCTCCTTTTCCAGCTTGCACTGAACCTCTGATTTATGTATCGAACCCATAAATCACCAGAAAGAGGAAGTGAAGATCTACCAAGACCATTGAGTGACGCTCCTCCCTTGGAATGTAGGAAAAAGAGGGAGATTTGTTTTCAAAAGACCGCAACTGAGTCCCCTCCCCCCCTCCTTTCCCATGCAGGTGGCTAGTAAAAGAGGCATTTCCTGGAACCTTTTTATTGAAAGAAGAAATACTGTGGAAAAGGGTAAACAGGGCAAGCGTTAAGGTGGAGGGGGAGTCAAAATGGAAAATTTGAATAGGTCTAAAAGGATACACGTCCTTGAGAAACAAAACATTCGTTCCTCCCCATACCATGTAATATTTAGGAGGCGGGGGAAAAAGGGGGTAACATTCTTTCTTTTAGCAGATTCTTTCAGTCATAGAAGAAAAAATAAAGAGAACACGATCAGCGTGCCCCGCCTTTATGCTTGATTGATAGCCAATGAATGGAGAGAAAACAATAATTTGTTACTTCCCCACTCTCAACTTAAATGATCTCCTCTTTACACTTATTTTCTTTCACAAATAAGGAGGAAATGAATTTTTCTCCTCCACCTACCCACCTTAATAAATGACGGGAATTTCCCTTTCTTGCTTGAATCATTCTAGTTAAAAATGGCGGATTATTATTTTCATATGTCTATTTTTTTTTTCGTTTTCTATACTTTAAGCAATAATATTTTTTTTCTAATATTTCATATTTTATTGATTAGATAGTCTAATACTAAAACATTATTCCCCTTAAAAATAATGTTTATTTATTTTTTGCTTCTTACATTTAGATCATTTTAAGCTTTGTTCCAGAATGACATGAATTTCCCCTTCCTGCTTGAATCGTTCTAGTTCAAAATGGCGGATTAATATTTTCATAACTGTTAAATTTTTTTCGTTTTCCATATTTTTAGCAATAATATTTTTTTTCTAATATCTTATATTTGATTAAGTAGATATTCTAATGCTAAAACATTATTCCCCTTAAAAATAATGTTTATTTATTTTTTGCTTCTTAGATTCAGATCGTTTATTAAATCATTTTAAGCTCTGTTTACCTTGGGGGTCTATTATAAGGAAAAATCTATTATACGGACTTCTGGAAGTCCCACCGATTCCGGATACCCGACTTTACACTGTATTACTAATTTACAAGAAAAGTTAAAAACCAATTAAATAAACGCACAGCGATTGCAAAATAATGAAAGTTCCCCTGAAAAAAATCTTCAAACAAATGTGAAAACCCAAAGGAAAAAAAGGGTGCATAAATAAGCGATGCAGTACATTGCATATTTCAACGCTGATCCTCGCACGAAACCGCGACTTCTGGTTTAATTCGCTCTTGGTCATTCAGCATCATGAAACGAACATCATCTTCATAGCTAGACGAAATCAACATCCTTGAAGCTAGACAAAATCAAAATCATCTTCATCAGCATGGTAGCAGCGTTAGTGTAGGCAAGGATCCCTGCATGTCAAATCGTTATATTGCGAGGCTCGTCTTATATCGACAGCTTAAATCAGATTTCTGATGCATTGCCTGAAACAAAGGTCATTATATCAGCCTGCTGATATACGTGTTAAATCGATATTTTGTGATATATCGATTTCTTACCCAGTCCTACTCTCAACTTAAATTGAATAACATCCACTGAAAAATGGGCAAATTGTCCCATAGTAATACGCCAGAGAAACTTTAGATGCATTATGTTAGAAATATCTTCTTAGTTTAAGAAAAATCTTCTCAGAAATAAAAGCTTACAAATATTTTATAAGAATATATTTGCGTTACATCTGAATTTGTGGAAGAAGTTGAATTAATAAATGATCAAAGGGGGGGTCATATAATGGCCCATTGCAAGAAGAAATTGATTATTCCTCAAAAATAAACACTTACTTCACCAGGTAAAATTTCTTTTATTGCTTCCATAACAAGAGTAAAATTGTTATAGGGAAAAGTAGCTTCAGCATTTGGCACACAGCTATGATTGCCTAAAACACAGTAATAGTATTAAAATCAAAACACAGTTGTCTCCCGGGCAACAGAGTTTCTTTAGTCAAACTGGAGTGCTATCCTAATTTGTTCACAACCCCATGAGAAACAGTTAGGAACTAATATTGTAAAACTTAGTCATAATCTAACAAATAGTTGTAAAAAAAATAGATAAAAATTATAATCAAAAATTTCTTTTGTTTAAATTTAAATTAAATGTTATATAATATTATATTTAAAAAAAGGATCGAATCCATATTCAGTTAAATCCTTTCAAAAAATAACTAGAATCCTCAGAAATTAGTTTTAAAAAAAAATAACTTTGATTTACATAATATTGATGAGAACAATAAAAATCTAAGAACAAATATATTTTTCATCTAGTAAAAGCAGGATTCTCCAACATTTTGTACTTTCTTTAAATAAACATACATTCTTGAGAAATTTCGATTCTTGAACCTCTAAAAATATGGTTTAGCTATAATCAGGAAATTATTATCCCAATACTTTAGCCAAGACTTACTTATCCCAAAACTTTTAAAGCTCTTTAAAGATAATTTTTCTCTATATATATTTCGACATATTTATAAAACCATTTAGATAAACCAAAACATTTTTGCACGCAATTGTAAAATTTATTTATTAAAAGATGTCTCTGCATAAAAAATGCTTGATAATTGATATTTTTTTTTGATTATTTCAGTTGATAAAATTTTTTTAATATAAAGACATAAATTTCCCCCCTAATTTTAAAGTAAATGATTTTGAATGAAAAAGTTCACAATTTAAAGAGTTAATTGAATAGTCTGTTGATAAATTTCCCATCCTATATTTTGTCTTTTAAAACTCCATGCTTTAAAGAATTTCATGCCTTTTTAAACAATATCAATTAAATTAAGTAATAAAAATATTAAAGTTGACACTCAATTAAACAATCCCCATTCTCCAAAGAGTGCACAAATAACAAAATATTTACGCATAGCAAAAAAATACTAATTCGGACAAAAAGTGCTATGCATTAATTAGAATTAGTAAACTAACAGAAAAATTTATAACACCAACTTGTTTTTTAATGTTGACATATATTAAAATACCGTTAAAAATAATCCTACAAAATGCATTTAAAGAGCTATAAGAAAATACCAAGAAAGTGAAATTAATATTAAAGGGCATAAATTTTTGAATCAAAGAATTACTTTCCTGAAACGAATGGGACCATAATTTCCAGATAGCAGCTAGCCCCTATATTTTAAGGGTCAAAATCCAAGTCTGTCAAGAAAAATGTATGTTTATTAAGAGAAAAAATAGTTTCGCAGATAGATTTGGAAAATAAAATAACTTCTGCATAAGTTAGTTAGCATATTTGAGGAAAGACCCTCAAACCATTATGATTGTATCGTAGTACATGAAAATCCAACCCATAGATTAAAAGTCATTAATTTTTTTCATTTTGTGCATTGTACTTAAATATATTTTTTCCTCCTAAATTTCCTGATTTCATATTTTCATAAAAATGTTCACATTTTAATAGTAACTAAAACTAGATTCTAGAGCATTTTTTGATAGATTTGAGAGTGATACCAGAAACCGGTAAATGCTAAAATATTAAACAGATATTACAATTTTTTTTAAAAATATTAAAAATCAAAATGATAAATGTCTGAAAAATTTGTCATAAAGACAATCACTTTGCTATATGAAAAACATGTTGAATGTTACTTCACACTGCGATAAAAAGTTTCGTTATAAAGTGGAATTTGCTGAAGGAAGACTTATGCTCTAGGTCTAATAAAGAAATATTCCTTTTCAAGCAGGAGTTCGCTTTTCGTTGATTGTGAAAAGTGAATGCTCATGGTGCTTTTAAAAAATTCAACAACTCTAGAAGATTTAAATTTTGAATACAAAATTATAATTCTTATTTTTTTCAAATTCTGAAGAAATTGAAAGATAGCAGAGACATTAAGAACAGAAAAAAGACAGACAAGCAAGTAATATGAAATGATTACAAAATTTAATCTTTACTATCATAAATCAAAAAGTTAAAAAAATGTGACATAAAAAAAGACTTACATGCACTTTGTAAAGGATAAAGACCCGATCCTTCATTATTTAGGAATGGTCCAGTTTCTGAAAAAAGGAAATTAAATTATCAAAGAATAAGCAGTCAACCATTAAATGTATTCATAGGTATAATAAAGTGGGTAAACAAAATACGTTGGTACCCAGTTGAGCTTGATTAGCATCTTTACCATTTCCTTTCCTAGTACTCACCAGAACGATACCCATTTTTTCATCCCACATAGTCCCTTTGTTCTAAACTATGTTTCAAAAGTAAAGTAAAAATTTTGGTCTAAAAGTGTTATCAATTGTAATGGCATATTATGTAAATACGAAATATTTCCCATATAATTGAATATCAATATAGAAATAGGTTTAAAAAATACTGCATTGAAGTAAAAATATTTTGCAAAGAAATAGATAAAAAAGAAAGAACAAAACTGGCGTTTTTACAATTTTAAAGCATCCATTACAATTATTTAAAGAACCTGATCATGCTTTATCTGTTTACTGCCTGTTATAGTAGTTTCTCAAATACCTTGCAAGGCTCACACACAAAAAGAAAACATTAAGAACTGAACTAATTAATCTAGTACATGTCAACTATGTTTTTGCCAATTTAATTTTCCTAATAAAAATTCAGCATACAGGCAAAAGCAATGAATAAATAAAATAATTAAAAAAAATGGCAGAACACTCGTTAAAAAGGTTGTTTATTTAATATTTAAAATTTTGTATAAGGCATATTGAAATGAACAAATTAATTGAAAAAATAACAAATTGACATTTCTGCACACAAATCGTGTCTATCTGTATCACGGAACACTGTCATTAAGCAATTAGGATGTTTTAGCCAATCTCAACCACTTGTTTTCAGTTTATCAATGTAAAAAAGAATTTAAAACCACTTAAAACAATTTAAAAACATTATTAATAAACTGATAAAGCTATTCTTCGAAGAGCTATATTTTTTCTAAAGCTATAGTAAGAAAAACTGCTAAAGCTAAAATTTAAAACGAAATGTGTTGTGATGTCAACCAACGTCACCTTCCGTCATCACTACGAGTCAACGACGACAGCCTGTAGTTTCTGAATAGCGGCGCTGCCTTACCTTTCCAGAGAGTATATATACCCATTCCTAATAGATGTTCATCGCTAACCTTGTTACGTGCTGTAGCATGTTATTGTTATGTTATGTTTTATAGTTTTATTAAACTTATACCTTTGCTATCATGTGTCTTGATTGGATACCACCAAGAATATCTCACAACACAATACGTGGCGACGAGAAGGGATCGTATTCCACTGATCCTATTTCACGAAAATTGGAATTCGACCACACGGCATGACGAAATTCAACTGCAATTGGATTTTTTGTGAAGATGCAATTGGATATCAACTGGATTTCTGTGGAGAAGATTGCCCGCCATGAGTTGTTCAGGAGATTCAATACCGGTATTATTTAATACTTCCGGTAGGTGTTTTAAATGCGTTTTTCTATTTGCTATATTTTCGTCTGGCTTAAGTTAAATTTCATACTAAGATGGCGACGGTAGGCTCTATTCAGGAATTTGACACTTCAAAACCAAATTCATTCGAGTTATATGCTGATCAAATTACTTACTTCTTGGAGGCTAATTCTATCGAAGATGATAGTAAAAAGCGTGTGACTCTTTTAGCTGTTTGTGGAATTAAAACTTTGTCTATAATTCGGACTTTAGTTTTGCCTAAAGAAGTTACAGAATTTAAATTTCAAGAATTAATTAAACTTTTAAAAGAACATTTTTGTCCTAAATCTTCAGAAATATTTCGACGTTTCAAGTTTCATAAAAGATTTCAATCAAAGTTAGAATCTGTGAATGCTTACGTTACTGAGTTAAGAAAGCTGGCCGAAGATTGTAATTTCGGAGAAACTTTGTCAGAACGTTTACGAGATCAATTAGTCTGCGGTATTCGTGATGAAGAGGTTCAAAGAAGATTGTTGGCTGAATCCAAATTAACTCTTGAAAATGCCATTTCTGTTGCAGTAGCATCTGAGGTTGCGGCTTCCCAATCAAAGCATATTCATACCCAAAATTCTTCTTATTCTGAGAATTCGGATGTAGTTGATTTTGTACGTGGTAGGAACAATAGAAATAATGCGCGATTTAGTAAACTAAATTCTAATGTTTCAGGTAGTAGCAAATCGCAAATTCAAAATTCTAAAGTGTGTTTCGGTTGCGGTGGTAAACATGAACGTTCAACGTGCAAATTCAAAAATGCAATATGCCATTCTTGTGGTCTTAAGGGTCACATTGTAAAAGTTTGTCGGAAGAAAAATAAATTTGAAAAACAGCGTGCAAATGAAATAGAAGTTCAACAGAAATATTTGAATGTTTTAAGTTCTCAATCTCCGTTTAAGAAAAACGTTATTGTTGAGGTTGATAAGGAAAAATTAGAAATGGAAATTGATTCGGGTTCATATTATTCGATTATTTCTTTGCAAACGTTGAATAAAGTTTTCCGTTCTAAGAAACCCGCGATCGAAAAAACTTTAATTAAACTGCGCGACTTTTCTAAAAATGGGATTTCACTAGCTGGCGTATGTAAGGTTCAAGTTGTGCATAACCTTTTCAAATCTAAGTTAGAATTGTTAATTTCAAATAATCACTGTACGAATATTTTGGGGTATTCTTGGTTTGAACCTTTAGGAATTTCAATAACAGGAGTAAACGAAATTAGAACTGGAATTATCGAAAAAGTTCTTAAAAATTACGATGATATTTTTGATAACAAATTGGGTTCGTATACGGGTAATCCAGTATCGCTTCCTATAAATTCGGATATGGCGCCTGTTAGATGTAAAGCAAGAAGCGTGCCTTTGGCAATGAGGCCCAAAATTGAAGCCGCCCTAGCAAAACTTCAAAGTGAAGGAGTTATTGAGGAAATTTCAAATCCAAAATGGTCAACACCGGTTGTTCCAGTGATTAAACCGTCAGGTGAAGTACGTTTGTGCGGTGATTATAAAATCACGTTAAACAAAGCAATGAACGCACATCCTTATCCAATTCCCGCGGTAAATCATCTTCTTTCTAATCTTAAAGGAGGAGGTTATTATGCTAAGATAGATTTGGCTCAAGCATATTTACAATTACCGGTTGATGATGCTTCCGCTGAAGCTCAGACTATCATCACGCATAAGGGTGCGTATAAGGTAAAAAGACTTCAATTCGGAATTAACGTAGCCCCAGGAATATTTCAAAATTTAATCGAAGATTTGTTTCGAAATTTAGAAGGGGTTGTTCCATATTTTGATGATGTACTCGTCAGAAGAAGTTCGGAAGAAGAGTTAGCCGCTCGTTTGGAACAAGTACTAGATCGTTTGAGAAAAGCGGGACTTAAAGCAAACGGGAGCAAATGCTTATTTGGGGTAACGGAAGTAGATTTTTTGGGCTACCGTATCGATGCGAAGGGTATCCACCCCTCCAAAAGTAAAGTAGAAGCGATTCATGCTTTTCCGGTACCTAAAAATAAAGTTCAGTTACAAGCGTTTTTGGGTTTGATAAACTTTTATAATAGTTTTCTAAAGGGCAAAGCTACGAAAGCTGAAGTATTACATAGGCTTCTAGATAGGGATTCAGTGTGGAAATGGTCTAAAGTCCACGATGAAGCTTTTCGATATTTAAAAGAATTGTTCAGTTCCGAAGCGGTTTTGGTTCCGTTCGATGAAAAATTACCGATAACTTTAGCTTGCGATGCATCTCCGTTTGGCGTAGGAGCTGTCTTAAGTCATGTTCTTGAAAATGGTTGCGAAGCACCAATAGCTTTCGCATCGCGTACGCTCGCGTCGACAGAAAGAAATTACACGCAAATGGACAAAGAGGCGTTGGCAATTGTGTTCGGTATAAAAAAAATTTCATCATTTTGTTTATGGACATAAATTCACTATTATAACTGATCATCAGCCTCTGCTAGGAATTTTTTCAAGAAATAAGCCTACTAAAGAAATTTTGTCTCCGCGTATGCTGAGATGGTCTTTAATACTTAATGCATATGAGTATACTCTAATTCATAGACCAGGGAAAAAGATTCAAAACGCAGATTCTTTAAGTAGACTCCCAAGAGAGACTGATAAATTTGAGGTTCCCGCTCCTTTAGAGGTATTGTTTACCGAGGACTTACAAGATCCTCCGCTTCAGGCAGCAGAAATAGCAAAATTAACATTGCGTGATCCAATTTTGTCAAGAGTACTAAATTGGGTTTTGAGAGGATGGCCAAATGAAAAACCAGATAAAAAATTTCAGACTTTTTTTTCGAAACGTAACAAACTTTCAACCCATCGAAATTGCTTGTTATGGGGTAATAGAGTAGTTATTCCAGTGTGTGGAAAATCACGTGTTCTCCAGGCTCTACATCTGGGACACCCAGGGATCGAAAGAATGAAAGCTCTCGCACGTTCATACGTGAGGTGGCCAGGCATGGATCACAACATAGAAGTGCATGTTCAAAGATGCCAGGAATGTCAACAGACATGCCATGCCCCTCCTAAAGCTCCAGTGCATCCATGGGAGATTCCAGAGAAACCTTGGTCCCGTCTTCATATAGATTTTGCAGGTCCATTCCAGGGTCAAGAATTTCTCATCATAGTAGATGCTATGTCAAAGTGGATAGAAGTGCGTCATATGACTTCCACGTCTGCTTCTGCAACAGTCGACGTCCTACGAGAAATCTTTGCTACCCATGGGATACCTGAAGTCATCGTTTCCGATAACGGAGGTCAGTTTCGAGCATCGGATTACCAGATTTTCTTAGAGAGGAATCTCGTCCGAAGGGTCATGATAGCACCAAGACGTCCGTCCGGAATTGGTCAGGCTGAAAGAACAGTCCAGACCGTCAAAGATGCCCTAAGACACATTGTGAAGGGAAATTGGAGGAAGAGGCTTGCCAAGTTCCTTCTTCAACAACATTGTACTCCCACCACCACAACAGGTGCTAGTCCTGCGGAACTGTTGATGGGGAGGAAGCTAAGAACCGTCTTAGATAGACTCCATCCAGATCTGACGGCTGAGAGGAAGTTGAGACAGGAGCAC